AGTTCCTGCCCGCTTCCGGAGTGCCACTCACGGCCGGGGGGGGGGGCGTGGGTGACCCACCCCCGCAAGAGGGGCCCAGGGAACTCTGAGAGCAGCCAAGAGCGAATCTGCATGAAGCTCATTTCCCAGGCTTGGCACCTGGGGGGGTGACTGAGGCGAGATGGGGCACCGCTTTGAGCCTCAGTTTCTTCCTGTCAGTGAGAGAAGAAAAAACCTGCCTCAGGTCCAGCGAGGAGGGCGTCTGCCTTGCACAGGGCCGACCCGGGTTCGACCCATCCCCGGCATCCCAAAGGGTCCCTGAGCATCACCAGAAGTGATTCCTGAGTGCAGAGCCGGGAGTTAACTCCTGAGCATCGCTGGGTGTGACCCAAAAAGTGAACAAAAGAAACGAAAAGAAAAAGAGATACCTGCCTCACTGTGGTTTTGTTTTGTCTTTTTTTTTTTTTTGGTTTTTCTCTTCGCTTTTGGGGTCACACCCAGCGATGCGCAGGGGTTCCTCCTGGCTCTGCACTCAGGAATGATTCCTGGCGGTGCTCGGGGGACCCTGTGGGATGCTGGGAATCGAACCCGGGTTGGCCACATGCAAGGCAAACACCCTACCCGCTGTCCTAGTGCCCTGGCCACTTTAGTGGTCTCCCAACCAACTCCAAGACTTGTGGTCTCAAACTTACCCTCTGGCCCAGCAACAGAAAGTGTTTGTTAAGGGACAGCAGAGGTGATAATATAGGGGTAAAGGTCTTGGAGGTGATAATACAGGAGAAAGGAGCTTGGAGGTGAGAGAGGGAAAGAAAGACAGAAAGACACAGAGAGAGAGAGAGAGAGAGAGAGAGAGAGAGAGAGAGAGAGATATGCACAGTCCAGAGAAACACGGGCTTCTCCAGAGTGGAAAAAGCAAGTCCATATCCCAAGTGGAGATGTGGGTCATTTCCCCAAAATGGGGAAAAATGTCCGAGTAAGGAAGTCCACATCTGCGTGTATGCATGTGTGTGTGTGTGCATGTGTCATACAGGGAAAGGAAACACACATCTCAGGCAGAGACATTGGCGAACATCCACCTTTCCTTCTGTCGAGTCCTAGTTTAACACAGTTCCGCTGCCTTCCGAAGTCTGTTGCTAGGGTGGTTGCCTGGGGGCCGCGGAGCTTAAAGCTGTTGCTGGTCTTTGAAATGCTTCATATAGTTTTCTTTTTTCTTTTTTTTGGCCGCACCTGGAGAGGCTCAGGACTTACTCCCGGCTCTGTGCTCAGGGCTCATTCAGGGTAGTAGGGATCAGACCTGGGTCACCCACAAGACGCCAGGCAAGCACCCTCCCGACTGTCTTCGTGTGACCTTGGCTCTGTGGCCAGGCTTTTCCCTGGAAGGGCCCAGCCCTGCTCTGGGCCTGAGCCACCCTTCTTGGGGTTTCCAGGCTCCGCACACGTCTTCCTGTCTTTGGAGCTGGGTTAGGTTCTCCAAAGACACGTCACTGTGGCCCCCTTATCTGCCTGCAGAATCCCCCCATCCCCTCTCCAGCACGATCAGGTCCAAGAAAAGCGCGTGTGACCCCCAAACTGCAACCGCCCCCAAAACCTAACCCAAGGTTGTTTTCTTTTTCTCCTTTGTTTTTGGACCACACCCTGCAATGCTCAGGGCTTGCTCCTTGCTCTGCTCAGGGAGCACTCCTGGTGGGCTCAGGGAACCCTAGGGGGTGCTGGGGATCGAACCCGGTCAGGTCACATGCAAGGCAAGCACCCTCCCTGCTGTGCTATGCATGGCTCTGGCCTCCTTGGCTTCCTAAAACCTTCCTCCACCTTTTTTTTTTTTTTTGCTTTCTGGGTCACACCTGGCGATGCTTAGGGGTAACTCCTGGCTCTGCACTCGGGAATTACTCCTGGTAGTGCTCAGGGGACCCTAAGGGATGCTGGAGATCGAACCCGAGTTGGCGCATGCAAGACAAATGCCCTCCTTGCTCTGCTATCACTCCAGCCCCTTTCTTCCACTTTCCTCAGGGGCAAAACCCAGACACTGGTTCAAGAGAGGTCGGGAAGCTGGTTGAAAGGCCCTGGCATACGGTTTGCATGCAGGCATCCTGGATTTGGTCTCTGGAACTCCGTAATTCCCTGATCCTTGCAGGAACTGCCCCCTACTCCCCCCCCCCCCCCCACCACCACCATAAATAAACCACACACACACACACACACACACACACCACTGCCACCAGTGACATCTTTGGAATACACTGTTCTCAAACAAGGATGAGCAAACTTCTTTAGGAAAAATTTAAAAAAGGGATCCAAATAATAAATAAATTGCACTGACTTGGCAGGCCCTCTGGGTCTCTGTGGAAAGGAATCACCCCTTCCCAGCCCTGCCAGAGGTGACCTGAAATCCGACAGACACGCTGAATGCCAATAAAACGTGTTTTACAAAACAGACCCCAGGCCCTCAGGTTGAAGTGAATTTGCTGGTGTTTTAAAATATCGTTTTATGGGGGGCTGGAGCAATAGCACAGCGGGTGGGGCATTTTGCCTTGCACACAGCTGACCCAGGTTCGATTCCCAGCATCCCATAGGGTCCCCTGAGCACCGCCAGGAGTCATTCCTGAGTGCAGAGCCGGGAGGAACCCTGTGCAATGCCCAGTGTGATCCAAAGAGCAAAATAAAAGTTAAAAAAAAAGAGTAAAATATCATTTTATTTCAAAAAATTTTTCTTCTTTGGGTTTTGGGGTCACAGCCCAGCGGAGCTTAGGGCTTACTCCTGGTCCTACTGGATCCCTCCTGGGCTTTGGGAACCATATGGGACACTAGAACCGTGTGCAAGGCAAGCCGTTACCCCCATACTCACTATATTCTCTTTCGAGCACCTAAAACGTTTCCATGAGAAGGTCCCGACGGTCACCCCCATGCCTCCTTCCTGAAGCCCTCCACACGCTTTCTCTCTGATTGACTGCAGGTGCCTATTTCTGCCAAAGGTGTCGCTCCCACTCCCCCTGGCCAGCCCTTCTCCCCGGCGGTCATTATCCTTTTGCAATCTCGGGCCCTGCAAAACCCACTTCTTCCCAGTAGCTCACTGCCTGTCACCCCCTCCCCTCCCTTCCCCTCCCCGGTAACCAAGGCGACCGGGCTGCAGCTCAGCTCCCACTCTGGCCGCTTCATGCTCAGACCCGCACCCCCCACCCCCCCTGCAAAACCAGACAATTCAATGCTCAGGGCTTGCGGAACTGGGGGTCATCCTGGGAGCATCCCCTGTGGTGCTTGGACCGGGTTTTGTTGTTCTGAGGCGCCCCCTGGTGGCGCTCAGGGGACCGTGCGGTGCCAGGATGGAGCTCAGGCCTCCAGCCGCCAGATGGGCAAGATGGATGTTTTTGGTGTTTGGGACACTCCCGGCTGTGTTCAGGGTACCACAGCGGTGCCAGGAAGGGAACCAAGGTCGGCCACATGCAGGCAGGTGCGATAACCCATTGTCCCGGCTCCTTCACTGCTGGGAAGCAGGTGGGAAGCTGAGTTCATTTCCTTTTTCCTTTTTTTTAGCTTTTTGGGTCACACCCAGCAATGCACAGGGGTTACTCCTGGCTCTGCACTCAGGAATGACTCCCAGCAGTGCTCGGGGGACCCTATGGGATGCTGGAAACGGAACCCGGGTTGGCCGTGTGCAAGGCAAACGCCCTACCCGCTGTGCGCTGTGCTATCGCTCCAGGCCCCCTGAATCCATTTCTTTCTAGCCTCTGGGACAATGAGCTGCATCCCCGACACCCCAGGGCTGGGGAGCTTCTGAGGCCGCCGCCAGAGGGTACCGGTAGCCAGGGGCACCCTCAGCCCTACCCCACCTCCCCCTGCGGCCTCCAGTGCAGACACAGGCTGTTACCTGCCTCCCCTGGGGCTCACCTGCCTCCCGGCTGCACCCCTCACCCTCCGCAGGCGGCTTAGAGACCTGGAAGCGCAAAGACTCACCTTTAGCCCGACCCTGGGGAGTGGAATCGTGCTCCATGGTCGTCCTAGGGGAAACGCCCAACGCTCGTCTCTTCTCTGGCCAGGCGTCTCTTCCCCTTTGGGTTTTGGGAGCACTGACATCGGAGGTGCTCAGGCTGGGCTGACTCCTGGCCCGGCTCTGGGTGGGGTGGGGGGTCCTTAGGGGATGTCGGGGATGGAATCCAGGTTCGCCGGCTGTGTGCAAGGCAACGCGCTTGCACTCCCGCCCCGGGCCGCGGCCCTGGCCGCTCTGCCGAGGCTTCTGGGAGCGATAAAGCCTGTTAAGAGTCTCGGGCGGGCGTGAGCTCGTTTGCAGGTGGAAACGTGGTCCAGGTGTGAGGCCTTTGCCCCTCCCTCCCGTGATGACACGAGGCGGCTAAAGGGGCTGGCGGGGTGGGCAAGCAGTGCCCACGGAGATGCCAGGACAGCTTAGAGGGGGCACAGGGGGTTCCCAGGCGCCCCTCGGGCCAGTGGGAGACAGGGGGAGTCCCCCTCCTCCTCATACCCAGACTCAGGAGGGCTGCCGGCAGCAGGGGGAGCGTTGGGGCCGCCAAGGAAACTGTTTTTCTTTTTCCTTTTTGGGTCGCACCCGGCAATGCACAGGTGTTACTCCTGGCTCTGCAATCAGGAGTTACTCCTGGCGGGGGACCCTGTGGGATGCTGGGAATCGAACCTGGGTTGGCCACGTGCAAGGCAAACGCCCTCCCCGCTGTGCTATCGCTCCAGCCCCCACTGGTGCTTTTTTGGGGGCCCACGCTCCCCCCCCGCCCCCTCCTCCTCCCGTACAAGGCCTCATTCTCCGCCTCTGGTTTGAGAACATAGTTTATTTAGTCTTTTGTTTCCTTAAAACTTTTGCAACAGCCATCGGTACAGAAATGCCACAAATACACAACACCCCCCCAAAAAAAACAAAACCCCCAAATCTCGGTAGGAATAAACGCACTATCTGGTACACAGACGGGCGGTGTGATATATTTATATCGTAAAAGATGAAAATAGTCACTTTTTCTCCATAATAAAAATAAGTTCTCTTTGTCCTTTGTGGGGTCTCTCTTGTCCGAGGCTCGCCGGTCCCCTAGGCGCAGGGTCCGCAGCCGCAGTCCAGGTGCCGCTCCACCTCCTCCACGAGCGACGAGCCGTCCGTGCACTGGAACACGTACTTCCGCCGCTTGCTGCGCGTGGGCCGGCAGCACTGCGCCCCGCAGCCGCCCAGGCACTGCACCGTGGGCACCTTGGACGCCGTCGCGCACGCCGCGTAGCCCTTCTGGCGCCGGATCACGTCCCGGACCAGCTCCCCGCGGCAGGGGCTCTCTGCGGAGGGGGAGGGGGAGCGGGGGGGGGAGGAGGGGGGGAGGAGGAGGAGGAGGAGGAGGAGGAGGAGGAGGAGGGAGTGGAGGGGGAGGAAGGGAGATGGAGAGGAGGGGGAGGGAGAGGGAGGGGAAGAGGAGGGGAGGGGGCGGGGAGGAGGGGGAGTGGGATGAGGAGGGAGGGGAGGAATGGGAAGGAGGGGGAGGAGGAGGAGGGAGGAGGGGAGGAGGGAGAAGGAGGTAGGAAGGGGAAGAGAAGGAGGTGGAGGAGAAGCAGGAGGAGGGAGGGGGAGGAGAGGGAGGGAGAGGAGGAGGGAGGGGCATGGGGAGGAGCGTGGGAGGAAGGGGAGCAGGAGAAGGGGAAGGGGGAGTTGGAGGAGGGGGAGGAGGAGGGGGAGGAAGAGGAAGAGGGAGTGGAGGGGGAGGAAGGGAGATGGAGAGGAGGGGGAGGGAGAGGGAGGGGAAGAGGAGGGGAGGGGGCGGGGAGGAGGGGGAGTGGGATGAGGAGGGAGGGGAGGAGGAGGGGGAGGAATGGGAAGGAGGGGGAGGAGGAGGAGGGAGGAGGGGAGGAGGGAGAAGGAGGTAGGAAGGGGAAGAGAAGGAGGTGGAGGAGAAGCAGGAGGAGGGAGGGGGCGGAGAGGGAGGGAGAAGAGGAGGGAGGGGCATGGGGAGGAGTGTGGGAGGAAGGGGAGCAGGAGAAGGGGAAGGGGAAGGGGGAGTTGGAGGAGGGGGAGGAGGAGGGGGAGGAAGAGGAAGAGGGAGTGGAGGGGGAGGAAGGGAGATGGAGAGGAGGGGGAGGGAGAGGGAGGGGAAGAGGAGGGGAGGGGGGCGGGGAGGAGGGGGAGTGGGATGAGGAGGGAGGGGAGGAGGAGGGGGAGGAATAGGGAGGAGGGGGAGAAGGAGGGAGGAGGGGAGGAGGGAGAAGGAGGTAGGAAGGGGAAGAGGAGGTGGAGGAGAAGCAGGAGGAGGGAGGGGGGAGGAGAGGGAGGGAGAGGAGGAGGGAGGGGCATGGGGAGGAGCGTGGGAGGAAGGGGAGCAGGAGAAGGGGAAGGGGAAGGGGGAGTTGGAGGAGGGGGAGGAGGAGGGGGAGGAAGAGGAAGAGGGAGTGGAGGGGGAGGAAGGGAGATGGAGAGGAGGGGGAGGGAGAGGGAGGGGAAGAGGAGGGGAGGGGGCGGGGAGGAGGGGGAGTGGGATGAGGAGGGAGGGGAGGAGGAGGGTGGATAGGGAAGGAGGGAGGAGGAGGGAGGAGAGGAGGGAGGAGGGGAGGAGGGAGAAGGAGGTAGGAAGGGGAAGAGGAGGTGGAGGAGAAGCAGGAGGAGGGAGGGGGAGGAGAGGGAGGGAGAGGAGGAGGGAGGGGCATGGGGAGGAGCGTGGGAGGAAGGGGAGCAGGAGAAGGGGAAGGGGAAGGGGGAGTTGGAGGAGGGGGAGGAGGAGGGGGAGGAAGAGGAAGAGGGAGTGGAGGGGGAGGAAGGGAGATGGAGAGGAGGGGGAGGGAGAGGGAGGGGAAGAGGAGGGGAGGGGGCGGGGAGGAGGGGGAGTGGGATGAGGAGGGAGGGGAGGAGGAGGGGGAGGAATAGGGAGGAGGGGGAGGAGAAGGAGGAATGAGGGGAGGAGGGAGAAGGAGGTAGGAAGGGGAAGAGGAGGTGGAGGAGAAGCAGGAGGAGGGAGGGGGAGGAGAGGGAGGGAGAGGAGGAGGGAGGGGCATGGGGAGGAGCATGGGAGGAAGGGGAGCAGGAGAAGGGGGAGGGGAAGGGGGAGGGGGAGGGGGAGGGAGAGGAGGGAAGGAGGGAGAGGAGGAGGGTGGGGAGGAGGGGGAGCAGGAAGAGGGAGAAGGGTGAGGAGGGGGATGAGGAGGTAGGAAGGGGAAAAGGAGGAGATGGAGAAGCAGGAGGAGGGAGGAGGGGAGGAGGGGGAGCAGGGGGCGGGAAAAGGGGAAGGAGGAAGAGGAGGGGGAGGGGGGAGGGGAGGAGTTGGGGGAGGAGGAGGAGCATGTCAGGGTCCCTCCCTCAGCAGCCTCAGGCTGGGCTGGGGGTGGGCGAGCAGGTGGGCTCACTGTCCCCCACCGCTGCGGGTGCTGCTGCGGCCTGTGCACTTCGCGGGGCTGTGCGGGAGGGAGGGTGAGAGAGGGGGCTGGCGGGGGGGGCTGGGGGCACTCCTGTCTCTCTCTGGAGGGGTCTGGAAGCCCGGGGGGGTCTCTGCTGCGGGAAGAAGGGTGTCCCCCCCAGGACACGTGGGCAGAGGGGCTCCCGCTGCTCTCTGGCTTCCTGATGGGAGAGAAACCACCTGAGGGGCTCCCCGACCTTACACGGAAACAGTTTGGTCCCTGCTGGGGGGGGGCGGGAGGGAGTAAGTCGTGTGCAGAGCGCTGAGGTTGGGGGTCTGGCAGCGTGGAGAGAGGAGCCCCCACCCCGGCGAGCCTGCCACACTCGCACCCACGGGAAGACGAGTTTGAGTCCCTGAGATGTGCAGGGAACTGGGGCCTCCCCAGCCGTGGGGGTGGGGTGGGGGCAGGGCAGAGACCCCAAACTCACGCTGCCCCTTCCCTGCAGAGGGCCAGCAGAGGTTCCTCCCCCCCGCCCCACTTCTCTGTGGGTTGGGGCTCCCCAGCTCTGTGCTCAGGGGGCTCGGCTGCACGCCAGGCTGAGTACCTCCACCCCATCCCGGGGCTCTCCTGTGAGTGTGCTAAGGCGGACACAGCCCATGCCAGGCGTCCGCAGGGCCCACGCAGAGGGGAAAGGCCGCCTTGGGGGTTGGTCAGAGGGGGCCTGAGTGCTGGGAGCCAAGCAGCCGCCCTGGTGATGCACAGGGGTTCCTCCTGGCTCTGCACTCAGGAATCACTCCTGGCAGTGCTCGGGGGACCATATGGGACGCTGGGAATCGAACATGGGTCAGGTGTGTGCAAGGCAAACGCACTCCCCGCTGTGCTAACACTCCAGTCCTTAGGGAGGGTCTTGAGTGGAAGCAGCTGTTGGCGAGGGTGGGGCTTTTTGCAGCCCCCCCGCCAATAACTGTCAGGTCACCCGACAATTCCATCCATTCCGAGCAGATGTGCCCCTCAGCCGAGGTGTAGGGGCGGCCCACGCCAGTGTAACCCCTTTCTTTTCTTTTTTTCTTCTTGGGTCCCACCCAGTAATGCTCAGAGCTGACTCCTGGCTCTGCACTCAGGAATCACTTCTGGCGGTGCTCGGGAGGACTCTATGGGATGCCAGGGATCGAACCCGGGTCAGCCACGTGCAAGGCAAACAAACGCCCTCCCCGCTGGACTATCGCTCCAGCCCTGCACCCTCTTCCTTGAACCCGCACAGACTCGTGTGTGTTTGTGTGTTAGTACATACGCACCCACCAGGGAATATCGGTCATAAAGATACATGCCACGAGGGCGAGTGTTGGCATGGGCGCAGTGAACCAAGTCGGGAAGACGAATTCCCTGGGGATCCGCCCCGCCGTGGCCTTTCCCCTGCCAAAGATGCCGAAGAGAGCAGGAGGAGGGTCGGACCGACTAGTCCCATGGGCGACAGCGGTGGCCGACAGTGACCCCCAAGGGGCTTGAGTGAAAGCCCTCACACTCACCGCTCGGGGGCTGGGCACCCGGCGGGACTCAGCATCCCGGCCACGAAAACCGCCCCTCTCTGCCGCCGCGTCTCCAGGTGGGCCCAGTGGGACCCCCAGGAATGGTGTGTCCAAGCCCCCGGGGAGGGAGGGATGGAGGGTGGGGGGAGGTGCGCCCTCACCTTGCTCGCAGAACTGCCCCCGGAAGCCGGGCTGGCACACGCACTGCGGCTCCCCTTGCTCCGAGACGTGGCACTGCCCGTGCTGGCACTTGGAGGCGGCGCAGGGGCCGGCTGAGTCGTTCCTGTGGTCGCACAGGACGCCGCTGTAGCCCTCGGCACAGTGGCAGGTGTAGGAGGCGCCGGTGGCCACGCATTTCCCGTGGACGCAGCTGTGTGTGGGGGGGGGGGTCAGTCAGGAGGGGAGCGTCAGCCCTGGACGGGCATTTCTCCTCATGGGGCGAGCGGGAGAGCTGAGGAGGCAGGAGTGGGGGTGGGGGGTCCCGTTCTTGAGGATGCTGAGTGCCCGCTACATGGGAGGGGAGGACAGAGGGAGAGAGGCAGAGGACAGAGAGGGGTTAGGGAAGGGGAAGGGTGAGGAAAGGAAGTGGCAGACGCAGAGGAGTGTGGTCACGGAGGAGAAGGACAGGGGAGAGAGGGAGAGAGAGAGCTGGAAGCGGTCACGGTGACTCCGGACAGAGACTGGTCCAAGAAGGGGGGGGGGGGGAATGATAGCACAGTGGGTAGGCCGTCTGCCTTGCATGCAGCCGACCCAGGTTCGATTCCCAGCATCCCATAGGGTCCCCCCGAGCACTGCCAGGAGTAATTCCTGAGTGCAGAGCCAGGAGGAACCCCATGTGCATCGCCAGGTGTGAAAATAGCACTGTAGCACTGTCCTCCCGTTGTTCGTCGATTTGCTCGAGCGGGCCCAGTAACGTCTCCATTGTGAGACTTTGTTGTTACTGTGTTTGGCATATTGAATACGTCACGGGGAGCTTGCCAGGCTTTGCCGGGCCGGTGAGATACTCTCGGTGGCTTGCCAGGCTCTCCGAGAGGGGCAGAGGAATTGAACCCAGGTTGGCTGGGTCGGCAAACAGGCTGGCCGGTCACTCCGACCAGCCTGACCCGTCAAACAAAACAAAACAAAAACAAACAAGAAATAAGTTTGGATTTGGAGCTGGAGCGATAGCACGGTGGGTAGGGCATTTGCCTTGCACACGGCTGACCCGGGTTCAATTCTCAGCATCTCATAAGGTCCCCTAAGCACTGCCAGGAGTAACCCCTGAGCATCACCGGGTGTGACCCAAAAAACAAAAGACAGGAGAGGAGGGGGGAGAGAGAGAGAGAGAGAGAGAGAGAGAGAGAGAGAGAGAGAGAGAGAGAGAGAGAGAAGGAGAACATGGGCACAACTAGAGCGGAGGGTGGATGGGGAAGGGAGTGGAGAGAGCAGAACTAGACGTGGGAAAACTTGCACTGAGACGTCGGAGAGGAGGCAGGCGTCCAGATGGATGCAAGTTAGGAAAGAAGGGGGGAGGGTAGGACGAGAGAGCCGCAGAAGGGAGAGGTGAAGAGAAATGGGTGGGACCAGAACATCTGGAGGAAGCAGAACATCTGGAGGAGAGAGGAGAGGCAGAAGGAGGCACAGAAGCCGATGCCAGAGGAGAAAAGACGCGGGAAGGAACTTGAGAGTCTCAAGCCCAGCCAAGGCGGAGACGGAGGTGCGCGACACGTGTGCACTTGGACGTGTGTGCGCCTGGACGCGTGTGCGCCGGGACGCGTGTGCGCTTGGACGCGTGTGCGCGGAGAAAGGGGCATGCGAGACGCGTGTGCGCGGACGCAAGGCTCGCGGGACACGTGTGCGCGGAGAAAGGAGCGTCGGGGACGCGTGTGCGCCTGGACGCGTGTGCGCGGACGCAAGGCGCGCGGGACACGTGTGCGCAACGGGCGGACGGACGGACAAACGGATGGACGGACGGGGGCACTGACCCGTGGTCACGGCACGGGTCGCGGGCCTCCTGGTCGCAGAGCGGGCCGGTCCAGCCCGGGTGGCACTCACACGCCACGCTGTCCTTCTCGAGCGCGCGGCACAGCCCGTGGCGGCACACGGAGCACGACTTGCAGCCCGGCGACACCCCCAGCGACGGCGGCGGCAGCGCCTTGAAGCCCTGCAGCTCGTCGTTGATGCGCACCTCGCCAATGCAGCCGTGGAAGCCGCCCAGCGGCCGGTCGGCGCCCTGGCGCAGGGCCGAGAGGCCCGTGGACATGGGGATGCCTGTGGGCAGAGGGCGGGCGTGTGTGTGTGTGTGTGGGGGGAGCGGTGAGCATCAGCCCGGCCGCCCCCCTCCTGCAGGGAGCAGATGGGGTGCGGGGGGGGGGGGCGCAAGGCTCTCCTTACCTCCCAGGTAGAGGGGGCTGTTGCTGCCCACGGCCGGCTGCTTCTGGAGCTTGCCCAGGCTCTTGGGGGCGCCTTTGTCCACCACTAGGTTCAGAGTCTGATTGAGCATCACCAGCTCCACGCTGTGGAACTGCCCGTCATTCACCGTCTCCACGCTGTGGGAGGCAGGGGGGGAGGGGGGAGGGAGGAAGAGGAGAAGGAGGGGAGGGCCAGCACAGGCGTTACTGGGCATCACTGCACCAGACTTTGGGTCCCACAGACGCAGGGCTGAGAGCCCCCCACTGCCCAGGGCGCTTGTTTTTTCTTTTCTTTTCTTTTTTTTTGCTTTTTGGGTCACGCCCGGCGATGCACAGGTTACTCCTGGCTCATGCATTCAGGAATTGCTTCTGGTGGTGCTCGGGGAACCCTATGGGATGCTGGGAATCGAACCCGGGTTGGCTGTGTGCAAGGCAACGCCCTCTCCACTGTGCTATCACTCCAGTCCCCTCTCCCCCAGGGCGCTTCTGAGCAACTGGAAGGGGCCGTGTATTCATGGCATCTGCACCATTCCCTGGCAGCCGCTTCCGGTCCGTTTCTCCGCAAGCCCGGGAAGGATGTTTCTCCTCTACCCGCCCTGGCTCCTGGCCCCTCCTCCATCACTTAGTCTCTACTAAGCCTCTAAGTTACTACCTCCCCTCTCTCCCGTCACCAAGTCTCTACCATACTGGCATCTCAGAGTGATTCAGGCTTGTTCTGCAACAGAGTCACTTTGCAGCTCCCCGAGGTCAGCCGTGGGAGCCCCTCCAGGCGGGAAGACACAGGCCCGCCCTCTTCCTGCATCCCAGGGGTACAGATGAAGGTGGCAGGGGTCTCCCCCTGGTGTTCCATCCCAGGGGCCTCATGAGAATGTGCCACTGCTGGTGCCCGCCTCCGGGAGGGAGTGGCTGGCATAAGGGGCACACAGAGGACCCCGGAGCAAGGGGTCTCTGCCCCTGTACCCTGCATTCGGGGCCAAATGTCCCAGTCTCTCTCTCACAGTCCCTTGGTGCTCTCACAAACTCAGACCACCAGCATCTCATGGCAGCTCGGGGTAGGGGGCCAAAAATTGGGGGCGGGGGGAGGAGAACCGTGGGTGGTTCTGAGTCATACCCAGCTGGACACAGTGACACTGCCCGGCGGGCAGAGCTGGTCCTGCAGCGCCTGCACCCACGGCCCCCAGCGGGGAGGGACCCAAGAGGCCCGCGGCTGAGCTGGCCAGTGGTGGTGGTGGTGGTGGTGTGTGTGTGTGTGTGGGGGGGGGGGGTGCAATGACCCCTGAATCTCCTGCACTGTGGGGTGACAGGCAAGGCTGAGCTGGGGCCACTAGGTGGCGCCAGAGCCCCGCAAGGAACCCACAGGGTCCTGGGCAGCCCCTCTGGCCGGCTGTATGAGGGGCAAGGGCCAGGCTTCCCGCCCCTAACACACAGGAGGGTGGCGCCCGAGAGAGGTAGCCCTGGAATCATGGCACCCTCCATCCCACCTTGCTCTCCCCCTCGCAACCCTCCCCCCCCAACCCAGTGCAATGAACAGGTGAGACCACGTTAGGCTGGGCAGGGCCGGCAGCGCCCCCTGGTGTCCGAAACGCCCCATTTCCACTCTGCCCACGGCCCTGCCAGTCTCCCGGTCCGGGTGTGTGTGTGGGGGGTGGGGGGGGTGGGGGGATCCCTCACCTGTACACGGTGGTGGGAGGGGCGCTCAGGCTGTCGTACACCAGCCTCACGTGGCCCTGGTACAGCTCCAGCGCCAGCGGGTCGTTGTCCCCTTTGTACAGCAGGATTCCGTTGTCCTTGTCTGTGGCCACCTGTAGGGCAGGGGCGGGGTGGGGCGGGTTGCTGAGGATGCGCCCAGCAGTGGCGGGGGGTCCCCAACTTCCCCCCCGCCCTTGTGCGGCCCACAAAGCCCCCAGCAGGGGGTCCCCAGGACTGTGCTCGAGGACCGGGCTCTGGGGCGACCCCCACACCCACCGGGACTCCCGGCTTCTCTCCGACTGAGGCATGAATGAGGCTGACACCGGGCGGGGCTGGAGGATCACTCCTGGCGGGCCGGGAGGCCCTCGGGGGTACTGGGAGGGTCAATCCAGGTGGGCCCCCGCCCAGGTCAGCGTCTTCCCCGGGCGCACCATCTGGGCACTGGTGCAGGAGGCTTGGAGACCCCCCAGCCCAGCCAGGGGAGGCCTCTTCACATCTGCGGTCCACGCACTGGTGGCTCTGGGTCCGGAGGACACCCCGGGCCAGGCAGAGGCCCTGGACCTCCCTCTGGTCCGTGTCTTGGGGGGGTCAGGCCTGGGGGGACGCCCGGCGGCCTGCAAACCTCTCCGACTCCAGTCTGCACAGGGGAGGCCGTGGCCCTGAGCCAGCAGGACCCACGGCAAGGGGCCTGGGGTCCCTCCTCTGGGCTAGGGTGGCAGGGCCTGTCTGCCCCCCCCCCCCCGCCCCATCCCCTGCTCCTGCCAGCGAGTGCCCAGGGCGGGGGCGGGAGCTGGCCGAGACTCGGTGGGGGCTCCCGTCCCCCGAATGGGCCCCTGTCCCAGGCTGGGGGTCCCTAGCCCTCGTTCCCGCTGCCCCCCGCCCCCCCGCCAAGCTGCAGGCCTGGGCTGTCCCCCACTGCCCTGGGGGCCTTCCCCGCTCTCTGGGGCCACTGCGGCCCTCTGTCCCCCCATGACCGCCGAGTCCGTCACTCCTGGGACATTTTCCAGAGAAACATGCCAAGGGGGTGGGGAGAGAGGGCGTGAGAGAAGTCAGGGGCCACCCAGTCCGGGAGCCTGCTCTGGAAGCTTCCAAGGGGGGCTGGTGTGCGGGCGAGTGTGACTGTGTATGTGTGTGTGGGGGTGTGTGAGTGTACATGTGTGTTTGTGTGTGTGTGAGGCGTATGTGAGTGAGTATATGTGTGTGTTTGAGTGTATGTGTGGGGGTGTGTATGAGTGTGTGTATGAATGTGTGAGTGTGTATATGTGTGCATGTGAGTGTGTGTGTGAATGTGTGTTGTATGACTGTGTATATGTGTGTATGTGTCTGTTGTGTGTTTGAGTGTGAGTGTATGTGTGCGTATATGTGTGTGTGTATGTTGCGAATGTGTGTGTGTGCGTGTGTGAATGTGTGAGCGAGTGTGTGGGTGTGTGTTTGAGTATATGTATGTGTTTGAGTGTGTATGTATATGAGTGTGTGTATGTGAGGGTGTTTGAGTGCGTGAGTATATGTGTGAGTGTGTATGCGTGGGTGTGAGTGTGTATATGTGTACAAATGTGAATGTGTGTGTCTGTGTGTGAATGTGTATATGACTGTGTATATGGGTGTATGCGTGTGTGTGTGCTGATGTGAGTGTGAGTGTATATGTATATGTTTGTATGTATGTGTGTGTGTTGTGTGAGTGTATATGTGTGAATGTGCATGCGCGAGTGTGTGTGAATGTGTGTGTCTCTGTGTGAGCGTATGTATGAGTGTGTGCGTGTGTGTGTGTATGTGTGACTATGTATGTGAGTGTGTGTGCGTTTGTGTCTCTCTCCGGGGTACCTGCAGGGAGATGTTGGCCTGGGGCCGGACCTTGGCAGAGGCCAGTTCCACGTACGAGTCCTTGCCCCCGAAGTTGACGGTGACGAGCTTCTCGCAGCGGGGGCCGGCGAAGCCCGGGGGGCAGCGGCAGACGGGCTCCTGCTGCACCAGGACGCAGGGTGCCCCGTTCTGGCACTCGTGCTGGTCACACGGGCTGGTCTGCAGCAGCACCATGGGCGGGGGCTGCTCGCACAGAGGGCCGCTGTGGGGGAGGGGCACCGGTCAGGGGGCAGCAGGCCCGGTGCCCCACCAGCTCTTCTGGTGGGCCGCCCGCCCCACCTTTTTTTTTTTTTGGCTTCCGGGTCACACCTGGCGATGCTCAGGGGTTCCTCCTGGCTCTGCACTCAGAAATGACTCCTGGCGGTGCTCAGGGGACCCTATGGGATGCTGGGAATCGAACCCAGGTTGGCTGTGTGCAAGGAAAACGTCCTACCCGCTGTGCTATCGCTCCAGCCCCTGGATTAAGTTTAAACAAACTCATTGGTTCCTTTTGGGGGGGTACCGTTTACTTGCTCTGATGCATTTTTTTTTTTTTTGCTTTTGGGTCACACCCGGCGATGCTCAGGGGTTACTCCTGGCTCTGCACTCAGGAATCACTCCTGGTGGTGCTTGGGAGACCATATGGGATGCTGGGGATCGAACCCGGGTCGGCTGCGTGCAAGGCAAATGCCCTCCCCGCTGTAAATCACCCCGGCCCCCCATTGTATATTATGGTTTTGGGGTCACACCTGGCGATGCTCAGGGGTCACTCCTGGCTCTGTGCTCAGGAATCACTCCTGGAGGTGCCCGGGGTCCCCTATGGGTGTCTTGGATTGAACCTGGGCCATCTGTATGATCAGACAGGCGTCCTTCCCCTGTCCCATCTTGCCAGCTCAGCACCCCGCTTTTCTACAGTGACGGGGCTGGACTCGAGCACGGGTCCCCTCCCCCCCTCCCCCGCCCAGAGGAGGTCAGCGTCATTGGACAGAAGCAGCAGCCGCTCACCCAGCCGTGGGGGGCGGGAGAAAGGAAGCGGGGTGTGTGGGGCCATGCTCTGCTCTGGGGTGGGGTCCTGGGGGGGTCTCGGGTGTGTCAGGACTGCACTCGGCCAAGCTCACGGGACAACAACGCCCCCCAGGGAGCGACTGTCCGTAGGGCTCAGGGATGGGGGACAATCAACACACGAAACGTCACTGTCTACAATGGAAGGTCGGGGGCTGGAGCCATAGCACAGCGGGGAGGGCGTTTGCCTTGCACGCGCCGACCCGGGTTCGATTCCCAGCATCCCATCGGGTCCCCCGAGCACCGCCAGGAGTCATTTCTGAGTGCAGAGCCAGGAGGAACCCCTGAGCATTGCCGGGTGTCACCCAAACTCCCCCCCCCCAAATAAAATAAGATAAAATAAAATAAAGTAGAAGAGCTTCCAAGGTGGCGGAAGGGATGGGGTGCAGGCTGGGTGCTGGGCCCGGCTTCCCCCGGGGACCCCCTAGGGCCTACCTGAAGCCCTGGGGGCAGGTGCAGGTGTAGCCGTTGACCGCGTCCACGCAGCGGGCGCCATGCTGGCACTGGTGCCCCACACACTCGTCTATGTCCGTCTCACACAGCTTCCCACTGTAGCCCGGGGAGCACTCACACCTGGAGGGCAGCAGGGAGGAGGTGTCCCGGTCTCTCCAGAGTACCCACCTACAGCGCTGGCCCCTCCATCCTCTTCAAGCATCGAGACCCCCCCTCCCCGGGGATGAGGGCTCAAAGGACTCCAATCCCACCTGCCACCAGGCCCCGCCCCGGCATCGAAGCAAACGGCGCCCACAGCCTCCCTCACCATCTCCTTTATTTCTATTCATTTATTCTATTAAAAAAATTTTTTTGCTTTTGGGGTCACACCCGGCGATGCTCCGGGGTTACTCCTGGCTCTGCACTCAGGAATTGCTCCTGGTGGTGCTCAGGGGACCCTATGGGATGCTGGGAATCGAACCCGGGTTGGCCGCATGTAAGGCAAACGCCCTACCTCCTGTGCTATCACTCCAGCCCTTCATTTATTAATTTTTTTTAGGAGATGGGGTTAGGCCACACCCAGCAGTGCTCAGGGGTCACTCCTGGCAGGGCTCAGGGGGAACTGTACGGGGTGCTGGGGACCAAGCAGGGGTTGGCCGCATGCAAGGCGGGCATTTTCCCCACTGGGCTGTCCTGTCTCTCTGACCCCGACTTTAATGTACTTTAGTAAAAGACCTCCCTCCCCCCAGTACTCGGCTGGCCTGGAGTCTCTCTCTTTTTTGAGGGGGGTGGGTCACACTGTGTGAAGCACAGGGGTTACTTCTGGCTCATACACTCAGGAATCACTCCTGGTGGTGCTCCAGGGACTCTATGGGTTGCTGGGAATCAAACCCGGGTCGGCTGCATGCAAGGCAAACACCCTCCCCGCTGTGCTATGACTCCAGCCCGTGGCCTGGGGTCTCTTTAAGCGGCCAAAGATGCTCCTGGCCAGGCACGGTCCCATCCCCTTGGCACTAGGGCCCAGCTGGCGGAGGGCTGAGTGAGGCTAGAGAGATGCCTGGGGCAGGGGAGTGGGGTTGGGGTTCAACACCCATCTTGGGACCGTCTTCCCTTCCCTCCCTCCAACGGCAGCCCCTCCCTCCCTCCCTCCCGCCCCCCCGCAGCGTGTGTGGCCATGGGAGTGAGGATGAGGGGGGCGGGGTGGGTTGTGGCCGGACCCCAGTCTTGCTCACCGGAACCCCCGGTCCAGGGAGATGCACTTGGCGTGGTTCTGGCATAGGCTGAGCTCGGGCACGCAGGGATCCACCACCTCATCGCACAGCTCACCTGGGTGGGAGGCCGGGGAGGTGACGGGGAGCCTGGGAGCGCAGATTCCGGGAGGGTCCCCCGCTCTGCCACGGGGGTCACCCAGGCCTGCCCCCCTACCCCCCGCCCCGGCTGGAAGCAGCAAGATGGTCCTGAGCTCGCTGCAGCTGGGACGCCCCTTGTGGGTTGGGGGAGGGTGGCAAGGGCCCAGCTGAAGCCCTGAGGGTCCCCTGGGGGTGGACCTGGCTTTCGGGGTGGGGCGGGGGATGCCGGCCTCCTCTGGGTGGCTCATCTTGGGGGGACTCAGAGCTGGGGCCCAGGGGAACCCCCCTGCATTTTCACCCTGGACTGCTGTTTCCAAGACACGTGTCCTGCCTTGCTGAGGTCTTGGGGCTGGGAAGAGTTCGAGGGAGGCGGGTAGGAGGTTTGCTGGGAGAACCAGTAAGTGGGGGTGGTGGTGGTGGTGGGCTTCTGGAGGGAATCAGACCCTTGGCCGCAGGAAGCGGTGAGGGGCGGTTCCCCCTGCCTGTGTCTGTCTGTCTGTCCTCACAAATCATCCTCAGACTGTGGAGGTCCAGAGACGTCCAGGGGAAAAGTCCATTGTGAGTATGGGGTTCAGAGTCTACTGGGAGGACCTTCAATACAGACTCCGGGCGTTTAAGTCCCTTTCTGGACGTGTGAGGGTGGTGGTGCCGGGGGTTCCCCCCTCCCCGGAAGAAAGTGAGGAGCTATTCTTCTGGAACCTTCTGGAACCTTCTTTCCCCCAATAGGCGCTTTTCCCCAGGGCAGGGGTGTCTGTTAGGAAGGGGCGGTGGAGGGCACCTCGGCTGCCACTGGGGGGGCACTCTCTGAAGACTTCAAGAAGGCAGCACCCCGGGGTGGGGGGGTGGGGGGGTCAGGAGCCGGGACCCACCTGTGTAGTTGGGGGGGCAGACGCACACGTAGTTGTTGATGCCGTCCACGCATGTGGCGTTGTTCTCACAATCGTTGTCCTCACAGTCATCCGGGTTGATCTCACACCGCTGTCCCTCAAAGCCCGGGGGACAGGAGCAGCTTGGGGGGGGGGTAGGTGAAGGTGGGGGCCTGGTGAGTCTGGCTGAGCCTCATAAGAGACCACCCTGGGCTCCCTGTCCCCACCCGGGGGGGCTGATGGAGCCATCTCGCCCTGTGCCTGCCCCTGGTTGTGTTTGTTGCTCTGGGAACCCCACCCGGGATGGAAAAGGAGAGCCTGGAGCGAGCCCCACTCCCAGCCTCCAGATGGACCCCCAGGAGCTAGTGGGCGCCTCCATGCAGGGAGGGGGAAGGGCACGGCCCAGACTCTGCCTGGGAAGGCCTCGCGGTCATGCAGGCGGGTGGGAGTGGTACCTGAAGCCCTCCTTGTGGGTGTCGCTCAGCAGGCAGGTGGCACCGTGCTGGCACGGGTTCTGGATGCAGGTGTTGATGGGCACGGAGCAGTCTCGGCCCTGGGGAGCGGAGGGGCGGGGCCCACGTCACCCTCAGCAGCTCAGGGTCCCATCACACAGAAGCTGCCGGCACCTGTGTGCTCTGTACCCCCATTTCCACAGAAACTCTGTGTGTGTGTGTGTGTGTGTGTGTGTGTGTGTGTGTGTGTGTGTAGAGGGGCAGTGTGGAGAGCAAGCTGCCGGACGCGAGACCTGGACAGGAAGTGGTAATTGTCCGTCCTCCCTCTGAGCTCAGAATGGGCTCTCGCGCCCAGCTCCAAGCTCACAGGACAGGGCCAAATGACCCTGTTCCCCCCCGCCCCACCCAGGACACGCCATGAAGGGCACAGGGTGGGGGGTGCTGGGGTCTTCCCCAGCCTCTAGGAGCAGAGACCCAGGAGGCTGCACCTGGCACGGGCGGCCTGTCCCTGGGCCGGGAGGGGGCATTGAGGGTCCAGGCCCCGTGGTCAGTGCCCGGCTGGCTCGTGAGCTCCTGCTGCCCACCGGTCCATGGGAGGGGCGGTGCATCGCCATAATCCCTGCCCCCCTACCTGCCCGTGTGTGCATGCATTTGTGTGTGCACATGCGTATGTGCAGGAATGTACACGTGTGTGTGTGTGTGTGTGTGTGTGTGTGTGTGTGACTTCCTTGAGTGGCTTCAGCGGGATTCCTGTTTGTCTGGCATAGGCCCCTAGGTGGCGCTCTGACACTGTCGGAAGGCACGGGAGTTACCTGGAGGAAGCAGGGACAGGGACCCATGGACGGGACCTTCCTGCGAGAGCCAGGAGGGCTGCCTGCCCAGGTGTGTGTGTGTGTGTGTGTGTGTGTCTGTGCGTGTGTGTCTATGTGTGTCTAGACTGCCTCTGCCTCCATAACCTGGGTCCCCCACACTTATGTGTGTCTTTGTGTGTCTCTGTGTGTGAGCATGTGCATGTCTGTGTGTGTCTGAGACTGTGTGTCTGTGTGTCTATGTGTGTGTGTATATGAGTATCTGTGTGAGTGTGTGTCAGTGTATGTGTCTGTGTGAGTGTGTGTCTACATGTGTATCTGTGTGTATGTCTGTGCATATGAGTGTCTGTGTGTGTCTATGTATCTGTGTGAGCGTGTCTGTGTGTCTGTGTATGAGTGTATCTGTGTGTGTCTGTGTGTCTATGTGTGTCTGTGTATGAGTGTCTGTGTGAGTGTGTGTCTATGTGGGTATCTGTGTGTGTGTGTCTGTGTCTGAGTGTGAGTATGTCTGTGTATATGAGTGTCTATCTGTGTGTTTATCTGGATAAGCATGTCTGTGAGTATGTGTCTATGTGTGTGTGTCTGTGTATGTGAGTGTGTCTGTATCTATGTGTGTGTGTCTGTGTATGTGAGTGTGTCTGTGTGTGTCTATGTGTGTGTGTGTGTGTGTGTGTGCGCCCGCACACGGATGGCAGCCCTGCAGGAAAGAGCAGCTGTCTCTGGGGACCTGGTGGCACTGCACCAGGGCAGGGCAGAGGTGGGCGGGGAGCTCTGGGTCAGGAGGGGGCTCTTCTGTCCCTCCTGCGCTGAGAGTCCAGGCCCCCCTGGTCAGTGCCCGGCTGGCTTGTGAGCCCTCCCCGCTGCCCGCAGCCCTTGCCTCCACAGCCGGGTGTGCCACACCTGCCTGGGTTTGTGTGCAACTTCTCTGAGCCAGCTCCCAAGTCACCTGGGATGGCTGAGGATGGGGGAGGGGGGGGCTCCCCGCGGGTGCCCTCTCCCAGGGGACCAGAGCCTGGTCGCAGAGTGGCTGGGCACCCCGAGGGTCCCATTTCTGCGCTGCTGCTGCTCCCGAGGTGGACAGCGGCTCCATCCATGGGAACATACCTTTGCTCTCTGAGACTCAATTTCCCCCAAGAAAATGCAAAGGCCTGGGCGCTTCTTGGTCGCTGAGAGTGTGGCATGTCTGGGGTGTGGCAAGGAGTGGAACACGCTCCATGGGGGAGGTCAGGGCTAGTTCGGGGGCGTGGCATCGAATGGGACACGCCCACAGGACCAGGACTGGCTTAGGGGCGTGGTGATGAGCCGGACACGCCCCCACAGGGGCGTGGCCTACCGGGGCGTGGCACCGGCATCCTACCTTGTACCCATAGGGGCAGGCGCAGCGGAAATGCTCCACGGGGTCCTGGGTGCAGGTGCCGTTGTTCCTGCAGGGGCCCGAGAGGCAGGCGTCGCACTTGGCCGCGATGCTGATGTCCACGGGGCCTGCAGGGCAGAAGCACAGGGCCATCAGCAGGCTCCGTCCAGGCCAGCCGAGCCCCGAGACCGGCTGTTTTATCACTCTCCATCCATTCTTCACCCACCCATCCACCCATCCATCCATCCATCCATCCATCCATCCAACTCTCTGTCATTTTTTTTTTTTTCCGGTCATCCCAGTAGAACTCAGGGGCAATCCTTGGCTCTGCATTCAGGAGTGACCTCTGACAGCTGTCGGGGTGTTGGAGACGTGAAGGGGGGGTGATGGACTACAAAGGAGGTTGATGCCTTCACCTCCCCGCCCCCCCCCCATCCCCACTCCATCCTCTCTGGCCCCACTTTCTCCTTTGTGAACAACCAGGCCCAGATAGATGGAAGAAGTCCGGCGTGGGAACCGAGAGGGTGAAGGGGGCTCTGGCGGGCAGGGGCGGGGCGGCACCCACCTTTGCACTGGAAGCGGTGGGTGGGGGTGGTGAGCAGCAGCCGGTCGGCCATGGGTTCGGGGGTGCTGCAGCGGGCGATGCCGGGCTCCTTGAAGCCCGCCTTCACCCACTCGGAGAGCCAGCGCAGGCTGCAGTCGCAGTGCAGGGGGTTGGTGCCCAGCGCCCTAGGGCAGAGTGGGCTGTCAGCGTCGCCGGGCAGAGCAAACCCGGGAGGGGGCCGGCCACGAGGAAGGGCAGGAAGGGACCCGCACCCCACCCCGCAGTGCACCCCAGTCTGCAGCAGGGGTCATGGGGCCGCTGTGCTCTGCAGAGAAAGTTCTAGCAACCAGGAAGCAACTTCAGATCACGAGTGCCCACTTCGGGCTGCTCCTCCGCACCGAGGGCACTTGGCAAACAGCACGGGAGGGCGCTCAGGCCCCTGTGTCCAGTCACTATCCCCTTCCTGCCCCGCTGGATCCCAGCCCGGGAGGGGAACGCCCCCCCCCCTCCTGTCCATCTGTCCAATGGGAGCAGGGTCCCGGGGTGCTACATGGTGAAAGATGGGGTAGGGGGGCTTTCAACGTGACTGCTCCGAGAACAGTCAGCCCTCGGGTGGGCCTCAGTTTCCCCGTGGGGAGAGGCCTGGCGAGCGCCGGGCGCAGGAGTCGGGGTGAGTCCGGCCCTGACTGGGCGCTGCCCACGGATGTAGGTTTCACCCCTGCTTGGCGTCCCAGAAGCGGGAGCTGGTCGGGGTGAAGCCCCTACCCACCTCTCACCCCTCACCCCCACCCCCGCTATGGGCGGAGCCAGTGCCTGGCGAATAAGAAGCAGAGCCCGCAGGCCACAAGGGGCCACTGGGGACCCCCAGGGCAGCCCCTTCTCTGCACCCTGGGGGCCAGCGGGTACTCACAGGTGGGAGAGCGAAGTCAGGTCCTTGAAGGAGCCTTCGGGGACGCTGGAAATGTCGTTGCCGTGGAGGGTCCTGGAGCAGGGAGAAGCGGGGAGGTCAGGGCCCTGCTCTGGGCTCCCCAGACTGGCACCCCCAAACGGTTTCCTGCAGGCGTTCCGCTCTGCAGCATGGGAGGGGGGCGGGGAGAGGGATGGGACCTCCAAGTCAGACCTGAACCGCTGGGGTCCGAGATGGCCCCCGGACAACTGGGGACACTGGGGAGTCCCCCGAGTTCCTGGGCTTATGTATGTGGTTGCAACGGGGGTGGGGGCAGGAGATGTCCACCTACTGGAGATGTGGGCTCCCAGGGACAAGGTGCCGGCTGTGTGATGGCGGGTGAACTGACAGCCCTCTCTGGGCCTCACCTCTCAGCGTAGAGACCTGCGCCCCGGGAGGCATGTGGATGCCAGCCCTGAGTGTGAGGGCACTCAATCACCGCTACTCTCTGCGGGCAGGCCTGGCAGGGATTGTGTCATGCGATGGGGAGATTCCAGACGGGGAAGGGACCTAGCCCAGGGGGAGTCCCTGCAGTCGGACGCCGGTCTGTGTGTCAAGAGCTGGGCCCGGGTCCCGGTGAGGTGGGAAGGTGACTCCCCCGCCCTGCAGGAATCTGCTATGGGGGGTCTGGGGGTCTTGCTCAGTGCTCACCAGACCCCAGATCCCCTGTACCCTGGGTGCCGGGAACTTCTCACCGCCAAGCTGTGGGGCCGGGTGGGTGTGGGGTCACCCTGACCTCAAGGTCGGCACCCAGAGGATAGGCCCACGGGAACAAGGTCGGAGTGTAGCCTGCCGATCCCCATGTGTGGGAGGGGCACCCCCCCCCCAGAAGGAATGCCCACCTGTCGTGAGTGCGAACCCCGGGGCCCACAACTGTGCTCTTTTTTTTTGCTTTTTGGGTCATACCTGGCGATGCTCAGGGGTTACTACCGGCTCATACACTCAGGAATCACTCCTGGCGGTGCTCGGGGGACCATATGGGATGCTGGGAATCGAACCTGCGTCGGCCATGTTGATTGCGTGCAAGGCAAACGCCCTACCCACTGTGCTATCGCTCCAGCCCCCATGACTGTGCTCTTAACTTATAGTTAAGTATTATGGCGCTTGGCCTGGCCCATTTCGATGCCAGGGTAGGTCACAGCCTGCTCTGGGTTCGTCAGTCCCTCGTCGGAACCCTGTTCTTGGAGTGCTATGAACTAAGGGCAACTGAGGCTTGAGTCAAGTAAATACAGATGCCCAGGAGTAAATATCATTTTTTTTTCCTTTTTGGGTTACACCCAGAAATGCACAGGGGGTTACTCCTGGCTCTGCGCTCAGGAATTACCCCTGGCGGTGCTCAGGGGACCATATGGGATGCTGGGAATCAAACCCGGGTTGGCTGCATGCAAGGCAAACGCCCGACCCGCTGTGCTATTGCTCCAGCCCCAGTACGTATCATTTTGGAGTCAACTAACTCCCATGTTCTATAGCACAGCATCCACTGTCTTCCTGGGTCTATACAAAAAAGGACACTGCTAAATAAACCATGCCAATGACATAAAGGAAAGACAAAAGCAATATAGGATTATGAGTTGTTCCTCAGTTGCTCTGTTACAGGAGTGGCTCAGTGAGCCTTAAGCTCCCTGCGGGAGCAGCAAAGTGTTGTTATTGCACACCCAGGGATGCCTGGGTGATTCCCACACTCCTTTCCTACGTCGCCACACACGGGCTGGTACCTGCCACGGGCCCCCAAAAGACCCCAAGCTGCCAGAGCTCTCCATGCTTGGGCATCCTGGGTACCACTTCCCGCCTCCTCCTCCTCCCTCTGCAGGACAGGAGGAAGAGGGGTCACCTTGCCAGCACCTCCAGGGGCAGCGGGCCGGGAGCGTCTCCGACGCTTTTCAGTATCACTTAACCTCCAACGCGCACCATTATTTATGAGTCACACGGCCTCCTGCCTGCGATGGAGCCGCCGGGCGTCATGGCTGCTTGCTGCCTGACAAATGTCCCCGGCCCGCACTCAGTCACCTCCCAAGGAGGCCTGGGCCCCCGATTTAAAGACACAGAATGACACACAGGCCGCCTCACTCCCTTTCGCTGTGCGCTGAGCCACATGGGGCTGAGACTTGATTTTCCACAGACAGGACCAGAGCTGTGCCCTCCGCAGAGAGGGGTGCAGGCTTGGGTCAGGGTGCCTGCAGCCTTGCAGGTGTGCTCACGTGTGTATGCGTGTGCATGCACACACACGTACTCATACTCCCTCTCACACACTCATATGGTCACACACATTCACACACACACTCACACACATATTCCCTCACATACACATTGTCTCACATACACATTTTCTGTCACACACGTAAAATCATACACACAAACACATCCTCTCTCGCACACACAATCTCACACACACCTTCACACACAAACTTTCTCACACAAACACACACAATCACACACACTCTCCAACACACATATAGCCTCTCACAGTCTCACACACACCCTCATACACACTTTCTCATTAACACACACACACACACTTTTTTGCTCACACATGCACAAGTACACACACACACTCACACCCTCTTCGGGCTCTGGGCGCTAAAAGAACCGGAGATGGTGAGTGGGATCCCCACCCCCAAAGCTAACCCTTTCCAGGTGGCCTGCCCTGCCTGGAGGGGAGCGACAGCGGGGACCACACGCATACGAGGCATGGGACTTGTGTGGGGCAGGTATCAGGAAACACAGCTCAGAGGAGCTGGAATGTCTGTGAGAATGGCCCGGCTATTTTCAGATGAGGAAAGGAGCAGCTCATTGCCACGAAGCGTTTTTTCGCTTGAGGCTCCCCCACCACCTCTTCTGTGGTGTTTCCTGAGCACACTCACACACTCTCTCACAGTCACACAATCTCACACACATACTCACACACACACTCTCTCACAGACACACACTCTCTTGCAGACACATTCTCACACACACTCTCACAAACACATTTTCTCACACACTCACACTCTCACAGATATACATACATTCACACACTCTCACAAACACATTCTCACAGACACATTCACACACATACATTCTCTCACACACACTCTCACAGACACACATTCTCACACACACACTCTCACAGATATACATACATTCACACGCTCTCTCACAGACACACATTCTCACAGACACACACACACACTCTCACAGATACACACATTCTCTCACACACTCACTCTACAGATATATACTCACTCTCAGACACACATTCTCACACACACTTACATATACACACACACTCAACAGATATATACACACACTCACATTTTCACACATATACTCACACACTCTCACAGACACAAATATTCACACACACTCTCATAGACATACCCTCACACACACACTCTCTCTTTCAGAGATACATTCTCTTTCTCTCACACACACACTCTCTCACAGACACACACTCTCTTGCAGACACATTCTCACACACACACTCTCACAAACATTTTCTCACACACTCACACTCTCACAGATATACATACATTCACACACTCTCACATACACATTCTCACAGACACATTCACACACATACATTCTCTCACACACACTCTCACAGACACACATTCTCACACACTCTCACAGATATACATACATTCACACACTCTATCACAGACACACATTCTCACAGACACACTCACATGCACACTCTCACAGATACACACATTCTCTCACACACTCACTCTACAGATACACACTCACTCTCACAGACACACATTCTCACACACACTTACATATACACACACTCACATTCTCACGCATATACTCACACACTCTCACAGACACAAATATTCACACACATTCTCATAGACATACCCTCACACACACACACTCTCTCTTTCAGAGATACATTCTCTTTCTCTCACACACACACTTTCTCACAGACACACACACTCACACTCTCTTTCCACCAGCATCTCCATCGGTGGCACCAGTGCGGGGAACATTTACATTTCTGCTGAAAAACGACAGAACCGTCTAGATGGGGGGGCGTGGAACCTCTCCCCACTTGCTGGGGGAGAGGATGCGGGCACAAGACAAACACGAGACACGCAGAGCAATGCGTGCCCTTCTGCCAAACACAGTTACCTGACAAACCCGTCCAATGCTGCTGGCTAACGCCCCCCAGCCTTATATGAGATCCACCTGCTACTGCGCCGCCGTGCCCAGCCCAGTATGTCAGGCATCTGGGTGGGCTCCAGAGGGTGCCACTGAGGGTAGATGGTGCCTCCCTGTCTAGCCCAAGGGACTGTGAATATGTACATGTAGCCCCCTCTTGAGGGCCAGCCTGCACCCCGCTGACCCCCCTCCTGACTCCCCAGTCAGCTGCCCACATAATGAGGGAGGCCAGCGCCGCCTCAGCCCTGCCAAGGAGGGGTGCGGCTCTCCCGCTGTGGGGCTGACTGTGACTGGGAACCGTGTTTCCAAATCCCCTGAGGAGGCGAGTAAAGAAGAAGTGACAGTAACGGATGGCACGCTGTCACTGTGGGTCCTTCTCCCCCCCTCCCACTCCCCTGGATTTTTTTTTTTTGCTTTTTGGGTGTGTCACACCTGGCGATGCACAGGGGTTCCTCTTGGCTCTGCACTCAGGAATCACTCTTGGCAGTGCTCAGGCGACCCTATGGGATGCTGGGAATCGAACCCGGGTTGGCCACGTGTAAGGTAAACGCCCTACCCGCTGTGCTATTGCTCCAGCCCTGAGAATTGATTTTTAATAACAGGTGCAGGTGTCATGGGGTTGGAGCCGTCGCTGACACGGGGGTTTGGTGGGCCTTGACCAATCACGCCGGCCAGTAGGCTGGATTCGGCCACTGTCTCCCCACTTTCTGGGTAGCACTTGATTCGGGGCCAGCAGCAGAACCCATCGGGGCCTGTTTCCCTGTGCGACAGTGGGTAACAGCAGTGCTGCCTGAAGTGACGTGAGCCGGTGGCCCGAAAGTGCCCCTCAGACATTCTTCTGGGGAATCCAGGAACATGGGAAAGCGAGACACAGACGGGCTGCCACGCATCTGCAGTGTCTGTTTTCATGGGAGCAGCGTCCTGGGCACCCCCCATGGCCAGTGGAATCCGCGGAATGGGGGGATGCTCAAAAATTGAGGTTCCGGAGCTGGAGCGATAGTACAGCGGGGAGGGTGTTTGCCTTGCACGCGGTCGACCCGGGTTCGATTCCCAGCATCCCATATGGTTCCCTGAGCACTGCCAGGAGTAATTCCTGAGTGCAGAGCCAGGAGGAAACCCTGTGCATGGCTAGGTGTGACCAAAACCAAAAAAAAAAAAGCAAACAAAAAAAAGTTGAGGTTTGGGGGGAAAAGGCAGCTCAGATGGAGAAGGGACCACCAAGTATGGGGTACATGACCCCCCGATGACTGTGCGGATAGGGACATGTGAGGCCGCGAGAGGGGGTGTGGGACAGTGGGATATGCCACAGCCACTAGGCAAAATGTCACTGTCACTGTCCTCCCATTGTTCATCGATTTGCTCGAGCGGGCCCAGTAACATTGTGAAACTTGTTCCTGTGTTTGGCATATCGAATACGTCACGGGGAGCTTGCCAGGCTCTGCCGTGCGGGCGAGATACTCTCGGTAGCTTGCCGGGCTCTCCGAGAGGGGTGGAGGAATCGGACTCAGGTTGGCCGTGTCGGCTGCGTGCAAGGCAAACGCCCTACCACTGTGCTATCGCTCCAGCCAGCAAAATGAAGTCATAAAATTCGCTTATAGATGGATGGACCTGGAGAGTCTCATGCTGAGTGAAGTGAGTCAGAAGGACAGGGACAGATATGGAACGGCTGCCCTCATTTGTGGGATATTAAAAAAAATTAGTATGAGACTCATATCCAAGGCCACGGAAAACAGGGCCCAGGAGGACTGGCCAGTGGTTGGACGCTTGCCACAAGTGTGTGTTGGGGGCAGAGGGCAGTTAGGATAGGGAAGGGACCAGTAGGACAAGAATCGTTGGAAATGGTCATGCTGGACAAGAACTGGGTAGGTAAAGGGATGTACCTGATAACCTTTCAGTATCTGTATTTGCAAATATAATGCCCAAAAGGAGAGGTAGAGGAAGGAAGGGAGGGACGGAGGGAGGGAGGGAGGAAGGGAAGGAGGGGGGAGAGAGAGAGAAACATTGGGATCATTGGCGGTGGGAAACGTACACTGGTGAAGGGATGGGTGTTGGAACATTGTATGACTGACACCCAATCATGAACAGTATCTCACTATGATTCAATTAAAAATAAATAAATAAATAAAAATTGAAGGGGCCAGAGCGCTAGCAGAGCAGGTAGGGCATTTGCCAACCTGGGTTCGATCCCCCGCATCCCATAGGTGTCCCACGAGCACCGCCAGGAGTGACTCCTGAGTGCAGAGCCAGGAGTACGCCCTGAGCATCGCCAGGTGTGACTTGAGAAAACAAAGAGAAATAAAGAAGGGGGTGTATGAGCACCCCTCAGCGGAAGTGTGGGTGAGTACGCCAACGGATGAGGCTACAGTTGCAGCCAGCTGGGAGCACCGCCTGGGCGAACACACACACACACACACACACACACGAACACACATACACACGCAAGCATACACACGCGCACACACGTACGCAAACCCACACACACATACATACACACACGCACGCACACACGCATACACACGCACACATACACACATGCACGCACACACATGACCGCATGATGGTGCAACTTCAAGGCTGCCCCAACCCAGCCACAGGAGCTCACAACAATGACAAGTCAATCCCCCCCAGCCCCCTTAGCCCCCTGTCCCCCTCCCCCCAGCCCCAGTGGCCACGCAGGGCTGGCCGTCCCCTGCAGGTACTCACAGCACGCGCAGGGAGCGCAGCCCGTCGAAGGCGTGCAGGGGGATGCAGCGGAGCCGGTTGTAGCTCAGGATCCTGCGGGAGGGAGATGTGGGGCTGGCACGGAGCGAGAAGGTGGGGGGTCCCTCCACGGGGGAGGAGCACCACCCATGGAGCCTGGGGCTGCCTTCGGTGGCCGCGCCCCTCCCGCTGGGGCCCAGACAGCGCTGCCTTGCCCAGCGTCCCTCTTTGCCTTTCCGGGGGACCCGGCAGCCTGCTCAGGGTTACTCCTGGCTCTGTGCTCAGGGGATCAAGAGGTGCCACTTGTAGCCCCCGACTCTCTCTCTGATCCCTGCAACTTGCTTCTCTCCTTCGTGCTGTGTGTGTGTGTGTGTGTGTGTGTGTGTGTGTGGGCTGCAGGTGCCACTGCCCGCTGCCCCCTCGCCCCCAGCACCCCCGTACTCACAAGGTGGAGAGGTGAGACATGTTTCGGAAGGTGTAGTTGGCCAGCACCCCGATGCTGTTGTTGCTCAGGTCACTAGGGTGGGGGGAGCAGAAGGACCACACCTGAAAAGCCGGCTGCAGCCCAAGGAGGTTGGGTCGCACCCCAGCACACACACACACGCACACACAGACACACATATACACATAAACATGCGCCTGCCTGCCGACCCCATCTGCCCAGCACACACACACATAGACACACACACACACACACACGCCTGCTGTCCCCATCTGCCCAGCACACACACACGTATACACATAAACATGTGCCTGTCTGCTGTCCCCATCTGCCCAGCACACACACACACACACACACACAACACATATACACATAAACATGCGCCTGTCTGCTGTCCCCATCTGCTCAGCACACACACACACACATACACACGCTTGCCGTCCCCATCTGCCCAGCACACACACATATACACACACACACACACACACACACACACGCCTGCTGTTCCCATCTGCCCAGCACACACACACACACACCTCTCCACCTGCCTGTTCCTTGGGGCACCAGTTAACCCGCCCAGGTGCATTCGCTGTACCCCTCCGGCCAGCCACCTCCCCTCATCCATGATTCCCACTCACGTCCACCTCATTCTCCCAGCAGAATGTGGCACCGAGCCTCCTGCAGTGCTCAGAGCTGACGCCTGGCTCTGAGCTCAAGGATGAATCTTGGCGGGGCTCAAGGGACCACGTAGGGGTGCCAGGGGTGAACCCGGGCGGGCTGGCTGCGTTCAGACAGGCACCTTCCCTGCTGGACCACTGCCCTGGGCCTAAGGCAGGCTTTTCTTTTCTTTTTTTGCTTTTTGGGTCACACCCAGCGATGCACATGGGTGATTCCTGGCTCTGCACTCAGGAATTACTCTTGGTGGTGCTCAGGGGGACCCTATGGAATGCTGGGAATCGAACCCAGGTTGGCTGAGTGCAAGGCAAATGCCCTATCTGCTGTGCTATCGTTCTAGCCCCTGAGGGTTTTTTTCCCCCTGAAATAGGGGCAGGAGAGCACCGAAGTTTGGGAACATCCCCATGGGTGGGCTCCTCCTCCTGACCCTCCTGGGCCCAGTTGCCCTGTTGTTCCTCACGGGACCGTCCCTGTCTCCAGCCCCTGCCTGCCTGCACCCCAGTTTGGGCCTTGCACCCGGGACACTTTCTGGGGGGCACCCAGAGGAAACGCCACACGCATTTCCAGCCAAGTTTAGGGCAACTGCGGGCATTCGAGAACGGCAGCTGGGCTGAGGGCTCCAGGGAAAGGAAGTGGACCCCGAGGTCGGAGGCACACAGGAAGGAAGGGGTGGGGTGGGCGGGGTCAGTGGCCTCAGCAATGTGAGACTCTTGCTGTTGGCCTGCTAACTTCTGCCAGCCTCTCTCCTGCCCCCCAACCTCTTTGAGGCGCAAGCTTCCCCAGCAAGGGGCCCCTTACATCAGAGTGAGGTGCCGCAGGGCCGAGAGTTCCCGGGGGACGGCTGTCAAGTGGTTCCCTTCCAGGTACCTGCAAGAGAAGGGGAGACCGATGCTGGACCAGGAAGGCCCCCCACCCCGTCCCTGCCCCCACTGGGCCTCCGGGACCTTCCCAGCCAGCCCATCTCCATCACACGTGCCCACCACGCCCTCCCCCTTCCAAGCACGCGCTGCATCTCAGGTGGGAGGTTCAGAGCACAGTCAGATTCAGTGCATGATGCTGTGTGACCTGGGGTAGGTGACTCGGCCCCTCTGAGCTTGCATTTTTCCTCCTCTGAAAAGTGGGGCCTGCCATAGTCAGCCTGTCCTCCCGGGCCCTCGCGCTCCTGCTCCCTCAGAGACCTGCATCCACGCCTCCTGCCACAAAGGACCATGCACGCAGCCAGCAGGGCGGTGTGTGCACATATATGTGTGTGTGCCTGTACTGATGTGTACTTACGTGTGTGTATGTATGGACATGCACCCATGTGTGTACATGCATGCAGTATTAGTGTGTACATACCTGTGTGTACTGGTATGTATAAGCATGTGTACACAGACATGTGTAGATGCTAGTGTGTGCATGTCCGTGCATGCAGTACTGTGTACATACATGTATATGCATGGCACATGAACTGATGTGTGTACATTCATGTATGCATGTATATGCATGCAGTACTAGCATGTGTACATGTGTGTACTGGTGTGTATAAGCACGTGCTCACAGACATGTGTATATGCTGGTGTGTGCATGTCCGTGCATGCAGTACGAGGGTGCACATGCGTGTGCATGCATGGACACAAACTGATGTGTGTACATGCATGTGTGCACATATATGCATGTAGTACTAGTGTGTGCACACGTGCATACTGGTCTGTATGTGCATGTGCACACAGACATGTGTACATGCTGCTGTGTATACATGCAGTATGCAGTACTGTGTATACATACATGTGTATGCATGGGCATGAACTGATGTGTGTGCATCCGTGTGTGCAAGTATATGCATGCCGTACTAGCATGTGTGAACATGTGTGTACTGGTGTGTATATGTATCTGCACACAGACATGTGCACATGCTGTGTGTGCACGGACCTGCGTACACATCCTGAGTGCACACACATGTGCTCACTGTGTGTGCGCCCATGCACAGAGGGGTCTGCGAGGGCCAGGACTGAGGGGACTCCATGTCCCCCTGTGGATGGTCCTACCTGCCGTGTGGCCAGGGGAGGGGGGAGGGGACCCCATTTTCCTTGCTGACGGCCCTGCCTGCTCCTCATTGGAGCCCGCAGCCCCTCTCTGCTGCCTTTGGACACTCGCCCCGTTACTTCCTTTGCTTCTCCTCAGAGGAGGGGGATTTGTTTGGCTGGGAGGTTGGCAGCTGGGTCTGAGATCACGAAGGGCGTCAGGGTCTCGGCAAGAGAGTCAGGGAGCTGCCTCAGCTGATGCCCCCGAGCCCCTGACGCAGCCTCTGGCAGACTTGCTGGGTGGTGACGGGTAGGGGGGGTTGTGTGAGGGTCATGTGTCTGCCGCACCCCCCACCCCAAGCACCCATTTCCAGAGCAGGGAAGCTGCCGCCCCAAGGCCTTCAGTTGGCTTCAGAATTACAGGCAGTGACCTTTGTTATCTGGGGGCCTGTTTTCCCGCATTCTCTGCTCTTCACCAGGTGCCACTTGGCTCTCTGCCCCGGGCAAGGGACACCCCAGGGTCCTCCGTGGCCCAGGCCTGGCGCCCTGTCCAGCCCCAGGAAAGGGTGGGGAGAGCACTTTCTATGGGACGAGGCATTCATTTGCTCATCTGATTTCCTAGGCACCATCACGTCTGTCCTATCTCCCCTTCCTTCTCTCCCTCCTGGTTCCAACCTCCTCCCGGGGTTTAGGGAAAGCCGGAAGCTGGAGCCGTCCTCTCGAAGACAGACCCAGCGCACCGTCCCACTGGAGGGCTGGGCAGCGGGTCTGGGGTTATACTGCGGTGTCTGAGGGCGCAGCCCAGAACAAGCCTGAGGTGTGGGGGTGGGGGTGGGTGGCTCCGGCTTCCTGTGGGCCCTGGGACTCCCCTCCCTCTCCCTCCTAATCGTGGGCCCCTCCCCCTACACCCAGGAGAGTAGCACCCTTCCTCTCCCCAGGGGAGCTGGCTCTTTTGTCAATTTTCAGTGCTTAGTACCCAGCAAACCTCAACCTCCCTGCCTCCCAGGCACTGACTGCTGTGAGTGGGGGTCCCTTCCTGCCTGGCTGCTCAGGGCCAGCAGACACCCGGGGTGCCCGGATACACACGTGTGGGGTGAAGGAAGGAACCCATGTGGTCTGGTGTGCAGTGCGGGCTGCTCCCTGGTCATGGCTGCCCAGCTTTCCGGAACCTTCCAGGACCTTCCGCGGAGCCCCTCTCTCCTGGGATCCAGCCCAGTGGGGCGCACCCCGGGGTGCTGGGGGGGTCGCACACGCACAAGGGGGTACTCACAGCTCCGTGACGTCCTTGGGGATGCCCTTGGGCAGCACACGCAGGCCCTGGTTGCTGCATCGCACCACCGTGTCCACGCAGGTGCACTGCGCCGGGCAGCGTGGGCCCAGCCGGCAGCTGTTCTCATCGTTGCCTGTGGAGGGGGCACAAAGGGAGTGTGAGGGGATGCACCCGGGGTCCCCAAGTGGGGTACAGGCAGGGCTACCACATCTCTGCTCGAAGATGGAAAAGGGATTGAGCAGAGCTAGATACAGGAAGGACCCCTCAACCCCCCCACCACAGGCCATGGAAGGAAGGAGCCATGGGGATGAGCATGACCTCCATGGGGGATGGGCATGGAACCCACGGGTATGGGTATGGCCTCCACAGGGATGGGCATGGCACCCATGGATGTGTGCATGGCTTCCACGGGAATGGGCATGGCACCCATGGATGTGGGCGTGGCTTCCATGGGAGTGGGCGTGGCACCACAGATGAGGGTGTGGCCTCCACAGGGACGGGCATGGCACTCACAGATATGGGCATGACTTCTATGGGAGTGGGCGTAGCACCTATGGGTATGGGTGTGGCCTCCACAGAGATGGACGTGGCACCCATGGATGTGTGCGTGGCTTCCATGGGAGTGTGCGTGGCACCTACGGGTATGGGCGTGGCCTCCAGAAGGATGGGAGTGACACCCATGGATGTGTGCGTGGCTTCCATGGGAGTGTGCGTGGCACCTACGGGTATGGGCGTGGCCTCCACAAAGATGGGCGTGGCCTCCATGGACATGGGCGTGGTTTCCATGGGAGCGGGGCACCCAAGAGCATGGGTGTGGCCTCCACGGGGTGGGCGTGGCATTCATGGATATGGGTGTGGCTTCCATGGGAGTAAGCGTGGCTCCTACAGGTATGGGTGTGGCGTCCACGGGAATGGGCGTGGTGTCCAAGGGAATGGGCGTGGCGTCCAAGGGAATGGGCGTGGCATTCACGGATGCGCATGGCCTGTAGACTTTCTGTGTCCTCCCCTGCCTGCTAGGGGTGTTCTCATAGATGGCCCCAGCCACCGTGTTTCGCAGATGCCGGTGTCCTGGGATGACTACCTGCCCGGGGGTGGGGGGAGGAGTCGAATGTCTAAGGCAGGGACCCCTTTGCATCTCTGGGAGCTTCCCCACACGTGCCCACTGACCTTCGCAGGTGAAGTCCTGGATGGCCACATCCTGGATGGGGATCTCCTTGAGGAAGAAGGGTCGCTGGCAGCGTGGGTTCCCACTCACCACCCGCCGCCTCCGGAGCCACCTGCCCAACCAGGCGAGGTGGCAGTTGCAGTTGAAGGGGTTGGACAGGAGGTTTCTAGGTGGGGGGAGACAAGGACGGTTGGAGGGGCTGTTCCCCTTGAGCCAGTTGAGAACGGGGGAGGTAGGAGGAAACGCCGGGAAAGGGGGGTGCATGCGTGGTGTTTGCCGAGGCATCTTGGCAGCCCTCTGGAGGTGACCCTGCTCCCTGATCTCAATCACCCCACACTGGGTGCCTTGGAACCTTCAGTGGTCCCAGCTCTGTCCCCGACCACCTCGCCAGGAGTTCTTAGACTACCAAGCCCCTCTCTCCCCCCAGGGAAATGAGGACTTCTGCCTGACCTGATCTTCCCATCACCCCCTCATTTCCTCAGCACCTGGGGGTCAGCCTGTGCTGCCCTCCTGCACGACCCCCAGGAACCTGTCTCTGGGCATTCCCTGACCTGGACTCCGGGCCTGAGGCGCATCTGTCCAAGTGCACGGGGGCTTAGGACATGAAGTGGCTTTCTCAGGTGCTCTGGACCTCTTCCACTCTGCTGGGATCTCCATACCAGCCCACCCCAGGGCCTTTGCACAGGCTTTTTCTGCTGGAGGACCCACGAGGTCTCCTCCCTTGAAGGGGCCCTGACTCGTCCCCGACATGACAGGTTCTGGTGGGCTCGCAGACCACCTATCAGCTCCTGGGTAGTACTGGTGCCTGGAAGGGAGAGGGTCTGGTATTGGGGTGCTGGGACTCACATGGTGGAGAGGGAGACGAGCGTGGTGAAGGCGCCGGGTGCGATGGTGCTGAGCCGGTTGTCGTACAGGGACAGCAGCCGCACGGAGCTCAGGCCCGCGAACGTGTCGTTGCTGACGCAGCTGAGCAGGTTACTCCGCAGCATCCTGTGGGGCAAGGCACAGGCGTCCTCCTTCTGGTTCCCCGCGTGTGCGAGGCTGTGTGGGTCAGTGGACGTGTGTAAGAGAGTCTCGGTCTCTGTATGTGTATGAATGTGTGTGTATCTGAGTCTATGTGAGTAAGAGGTGTGTGTGTAAACGTGAGTGTCTGAGTCTGTTTGTGTGAGTATGTAAATACGTGTGTCTGTGTGAATGTGAGAGTGAGTACACAAATGTGTGTGTCTGTGTCTGTGTGTGAGTGTATAAATGTTTGAGTGTCTGGCTCTGTGTGTATGTAAATGTGTGAGTCTGTAAATGTGTGAGTCTGTGTGTGTATGTAAATGTGTGTGTCTGAGTCTGTGTGTGAGTGTAAATGTGTGTGTGAGTCTGTGTGTGAGTGTAAATGTGTGTGTGAGTCTGTGTGTGAGTGTAAATGTGTGTGTGAGTCTGTGTGTGAGTGTGAGTATGTAAATGTGTGTGTCTGTGTGAGTGTGTAAATGTGTCTGAGAGTATATAAATGTATGTGAGTCTGTGTGAATGTGACAGTGAGCATGTAAATGTGTGTATCTGAGTCTGTGTGTGAGTGTGAGTGTATAAATGTGTCTGTGAGTGTGAGAGTTGTGAGTATGTAAATGTATGTGTGAGTCTGTGTGAGCGTGAGTGTGCAGTGTATATAAATGTGTGAGTATACACGTCTGAATGCGAGGGTGTGTGTGTATGTGTGAATGTGTGTGAGTACGTGAGAGTGTGTGAGTGTGTGTGTGTGAATGTATGTGAGTGTGAGAGTGTGGATATGTGTGTGAGAGTGAATGTGTGTGAGTGTATGTGTCTCTATATGTGAGTTTGTGAGTGTGCATATGCGTGTGTGAGTGTCTGAGTGTCTGAGTCTGTGAGTGTGTGTATGTGTGTGACCGTGCAAGGCTGTATGTGTGAGAGTATGTGTGTATATGTGAGTATTTGAGTCTGTATATGAGTGCGGGAATGAATGTGTGTGTGAGGCCGTGTGTGGTTGTGTGTGTTTTCGGTCTCTGTATGTGTATGAGTCTATACGTGAGAGTTTGAGCCTGCGAGTGTGAAAGTATGTATATGTGTGAGTGTGAATGTGTATGTGACTGTGTTTGTATAAATGTGCATGTCCGTGTTTGAGTCTGTGTGTGAGGGTAAGAATATGTGTGCGGGTGTGTGAGAGTATGTGCATGTATGTGAGTGTGTATGTGTGAGGCTGTGTGTTTGTGTGTGTGTCTCAGTGAGTATATTTGTGTGAGTAAGATGCTGTGCCAGCCCCAAACTCAGCGCAGTCATGTGGCTCCGACACCCCCCACCCCTCCCACTGTGCACACATTCTGGCTTGAGCCCCCATCCGTGCTCTCGGAGTAGGGGACATGAACATGTGTATGGTTATGAGTGAATGAATATTGTGTGGCTATTTCTGGGCAGGAAGGGAGAACTGAGGTGTAAGTGCTCTCTCTCTCTCTCTCTCAGCTCCTGGAGTGACTTCCTCTGTGGAACCTTAGGCCCAGCATTTCTCGATAGAGCCAAGCATGCTAAGTCCCTTCCCTCCAGGGCGGGGAGAAGGGTCCCGCGGGCCGCCCTCGGGGTCCCTGGGCTGGGGCACTCACAGGGTCTTCAGGCCGCTGAGGCCGCGGAACATGCGTCCGTGCACCGTCTCCAGCTGGTTCCCGGTCAGCATCAGCTCCTGCACGCTGGCCGCTCCGTCGAAGGCACCCTCTCGCACCTCCTTGATCTTATTGTTACTCAGGTTTCTGGAAGGAAGAGACGGAAGGGCTCAGCGTTTCCCTCTGGCCTGGGACCTGAATACCGTTTCCCTGGGGGTGGGGAGGGCGTCCCATTGGCTGGCCCCGAGTGGTGAGACAGACTGGCCAGGTGTGCGGCCAGTTGCTTCTGGTCCCTGCCCTGCAGATTTACAAACGATGTCCACCCTCCCAAAAGACATCCGCTTCAGACAAGCACAAGAGCTCGAAGAGCCTCCGTGCTCCCTGCAACTGCCTTGCTGTTGGTTGGTTTGGTTGTTCTTTTTTTGGGGGGGGGCGTCACACCCGGCGACACACAAGGGTTCCTTCTGGCTCATGCACTCAGGAATTACTCCTGGCGGTGCTCAGGGAACCCTACGGGATGCTGGGAATCAAACCCGGGTCGGCCGTGTGCAAGGCAAACGCCCTCCCTGTTGAGCTATCACTCCGGCCCCTGGCTCGGTTGTTCCTGAGACCACACCTGGCGATGCTCAGGGCTTACTCCTGGCTCTGTGCTCAGGGATCACTCCTGGAAGTGCTCAGGAGGGGTCTACGGGATGCCGTAGATTGAATCTGGGTCAGCTGCCTGCAAGGCAAGCGCCTACCTCATTGTACCATCACTTTTGCTCTTTTGGGGGGACGGGGAGGGGCGGTCCACCTGACTTTCACATGTATGTGCATGTGTAGACTTGTGCCCCTGTCATTGTTGGATAAAATCACGTTTCCCCATAGGTGGAGGCAGGTGGTCATGGGCTACATCTTGGCCCCTGCGTGCAGCCACCCTCTAACCTGGGACCCGTTGTCCCTGCATCCTGTTACAGAGGCCCGAGGGCTGGTGCCAGGAGGGGCTGCAGGCGAGGAGGGCAGGATGGAGAGAGCCAGGCTCTGAGGAGACCTAGGAGGGTGGAAGTGGGTGGCCTGGGGTAGGAGCGGTTCCTTAGCGCTGGCTGAAGGAGCAGAAGCGCCGAGAACAAGTTGAAGATAAGGCGTGGTCTCCGCAGTAGCCAAAGCCATCAGGGAAAAAATAAACCAGCTGCCACCGTGGCACTGCCCTGCTGGGGAACGCAGCCAGTGGGAGGCGGTGTGTGTGTGTGTGTGTGTGTGTGTGTGTGTGTGTGTGTGTGTGTGCCTCCCAGCTCCAATTCAATTGCAGTAACCACCATTTCTGACTTCCAGCTCCCAGCTCCGCAGACCCCGGGGAGGTGGGGTAGGGGTGGGGGTGGGGGTGTGAAAGCAGACGCGCCCCGGCCCAGGGTCCACTTACATCTTCCGCAGGTTGGGAAGCTTCTTGAAGATGCCCGTGGCCTCCAGCACGGAGATCTCATTGTCATTCAGCCGCCTGCGTGGGAAGCAGCAAAGGGGTGAGGGTGGCTGGTCAGCTGTGGGGGAGTCCCCCCCCCTCGCTTCTTCCTGCCTTGCCGCGCCCACAGCTGTGGGGCCACCTGGACACAGAGCTGGGCAGAGCCACGTGGTGGCCGAGAGGGAGGACCAGGCCGGCCGCACCCTCCAGGTGCCATTTGTGGATTCCCAGAGACGGTGGCAGTGGAAACAACCCCGCGGCCAGGGGAAGGGGGGCGGCAGGGGCTGTCTCCGTGATCATGGCCCTCTGCCTCAGTTTCCCCAACCACCCACGCTTTACGCTGAGTCTGAGTGTTGGAGAGAAGCAGCGACCTGTCCCGTCGCAGGCAGAGGGAGAGCCAGGGTGGGAGGGTCAGCCGGACCCTGCTGGGAGGTTTCAGGCTGTCCCCTGACACAGCCTGGGCCCTGGAGCCTGGGACACGGACGTCCCACATGCTGCTGTTGTGGCCCTAATGCATGGGTGGGGGGTTTTGCGTGCTCATCCCCTCATCACATCCCCAGAGGCTGAACGAACTGGGGTCAGCCACGGCGCTGAGCAGGTGTGGGTGGAGGAGAGCATGGCGGTCCCCCCCACCCCCACTCCCACAGCGCGCATGGGCCTTGCTTGGGCAGATGCAGGGGCTGGGGTCGGCCTGAGCAGGTGCTGGGGGGCGGGTGGGCCGCGCCTAGGCAGGTGGTGCTGAGTCGGGCGGGGAGAAGGGCGCACTTACAGGTCGGTGACGTATTCGGGGAGGTGGCTGGGGATGCGGGACAGCTTCTGGTTGGAGCAGTCCACGACGGTGCCCTCGCAGCGGCACTTCTCGGGGCACACGAGGTCCATGAAGCACGAGCTGCTGAAGCGGCTGCGGTAATCCTCCGAGCCTGGGCGGAGCCAGAGGGGGCGGGGTCAGAGGGGGCGGGGCCAGATGAGGATGGAGCCAGGGGCGGAGCCAGATGAGGCAGGGCCAGATGGGGAGAGGCTAGATGGGGCGGGTTCAGAGGGGGCGGAGCCAGGTGAGGGCGGAGCCAGAGGGGCGGGGCTAGATGGGGCGGGACCAGAGGGGGCTGAGCCAGATGAGGATGGAGTCAGAGTAAGATGAGGGCGGAGCCAAAGAGGCGGAGTCAAATGAGGGAGGAGCCAGAGGGGGCATGGCCAGAGGGAGTGGAGGCAGATGAGGATGGAGCCAGGGGCGGAGCCACATGGGGCAGGGCCAGATGGGATGGGGCCAGGTGAGGGCAGAGCCAGAGGGGTGGGGCCGGAGGGGGCGGGGCCGCAGGGGACAGTGCCAGATGAGGATGTAGCGGGGCGGAGCCAGATGGGGCGGGGCCAGGTGATGGCAGAGCCAGAAGGGCGGGTTCAGAGGGGGAGGAGCCAGAGGGCAGAGTCAGGTGAGGGTGGAGCCAGAGAGTTCGGGTCCAGAGGGGATGGGGCCAGACGGGTCGGGGCCAGAGGGGGCTGAGCCAGATGAAGATGGAGCCAGAGTAAGACGAGGGCGGAGCCAGGGAGGCGGAGTCAAATGAAGGCGGAGCCAGGGAGGCGGAGTCAAATGAGGGTGGAGCCAGGGAGGTGGAGTCAAATGAGGGCGGAGTCAGGGAGACAGAGTCAAATGAGGGCGGAGCCACAGCGGTGGAGTCATATGAGGGCGGAGCCAGAGGGGCTTCTCTGTGTGTGTGTGTGTGTGTGTGTGTGTGTGGGTGGGTGTGTGTGTGTCTGGGGAATAAACAGGGTGTCTAGACAGGCACAGTGCCGCCCTGTGGGGCCCACCATCCCCTTGGCAGGCTCTTTCTCCCACTCAGTCCTGGTCACTCACGACATGGGGTCCTCAGGGGTCCTTTCTGGGGAGCCCGCAGGAGGGAGGAGGCATGTGGCTGCAGAACTGGGCCTCAGCTTTCATGGGCCACTTGGTCCTGACCTCCTGTCCACCCAATTCCCTCCCAGTTGATGTCCCTCTGCATGTCCAAATGAGAGGCAGGTGGTAGGCTGGCACAAGAGGGCTATGTGGCGACTGGTCCCAGGTGGCAGGAAACAGGGATGAGAGAATGGGGGGTGGGGGTCTGTGGCCACCGTGCATGGGGATTGATTCTGGGGTCCCCCAAAGTCCTGGCTCAAGGGACCCTTGTGAAGGGGCCTGGGTTTGATCCCTGGCCCCACATGGTCCCCCCAAGCATCCCTGGGTGTAGCCTGGAGGCTCCCCAGAGCCTTGGTGAGCCCAAAGAAGAAAAACAGATTTAAAAAACATATATACATACAGGTCATGAAATGTTTTAATGTCTGCATTTTATTTTATTTTTAATATATCTAATGGTGCTTAGGGGCCCAGATGTGGTGCCTGGGATTGATTTGGCTTGATGACAGGCAAACCAAGCACCTGTACTACATCTCTGGCCCACACATTTGAATTTTGTTCTTTTTTTGGGAAGTCACACCCAACAGTGCTCAGGAATCACTCCTGGCAGTCTCAGGGGACCTTATGGGGTGCTGGGAATCGAACCCAGCTCAACCGCGTGTAAGGCAGGCGCCCTACCCATAGTGCTATCTCTCTGGCCCCTCATTTGAATTTTAAATGCTGTGAAGATGGACACCACCCAGATTCAACCCCTGTGCAAGAGCGCCCCTGGGGGGCTGGAAGGAGTCAGGGCTCAGAGTTATTCCATCTGCAGGGGAATTTCTCTTCAGGCCACAGAGCTATGGACCAAGCAAGGGTGGGGTACCTGGAGATGGGGGGGGGGGCGCTGATCTGACAATCAGGCTCGGGGTGAGGGAGATGAGAGTTAGAGCCTGGGTGAAAATGCTGGACCACTTCCCAGGGTCCGCTGATTGGACGATGGGAAAGGTCCTTCCCGCCCCCTCTATGGGCCCACCAATCCCACCAGAGGGAACAAGGAAGCTGCCAGGGACGTGGCTCTAGCTGTCTCCCCCTCCACATTTCGTGGACATGAAGTTAAGAGCAAAGGTGTCTGGGGTTACCATCTGTCTCAGGCACAATAGGGTGGGGGTGGGGTCCCGCCTGCAAGCAGAAAGGGTCTGAGGGTGTGGGCATTGTTCCAGGCTGAGCTGGGCAGCAGTGACCATACGGGCCAGGGGGTCACGGAGTCGTAAGTGCCATAGAAGCCCCACGAGAGGAACATCTCCCGCCGGCGCCCTCGGCCTGTCAGCCTTGTCTGTGATCACGACACCCGCCAGTGCCTTAATTTACATGCCCTGCGAGGGGCTGGCATCAATGGGATGATCCCAGTGGCCAAGGGCGGAGCCACAAGGTGTGAAGCCAGAGTAAGATGAGGGCGGAGCCAAAGAGGCGGAGTCAAATGAGAACCCGCCCCCATCATGAGGCAGGGGTGGTGGTGGGGATGGGGGATAGACTGAGGCAGAGGAGACGGAGAGAGTTGAGTGTTTAGAATGGGATCAAGAGTTGTGTGTGTGTGTGTGTGTGTGTGTGTGTGTGATGCCACGCCTGAACCGTGTGGTACATCTGGCATGGGTGGCTCTCATGTGACGCTTTCACAGGATAAACGTCCTGGGGGTAGGTATTTACTGAGCACCCCCTTCCCTCACACACACCACCACTGGCCGACCTCTTTGAACTTCAGAGGAGTGGGTCCCCCCCTTATCCCCCCACCCCTCATTCAATCCTGGCAACAACCCTGAAATGATTTTTTTTTCTTTTGACCTGGTGGTGCTCAGGGCTGACTCCTGGCCCTGCACTCAGGGATCACTCCTAGTGGTGCTCGGGGGACCCTATGGGATGCTGGGGATCGAACCTGGGTTGGCCGCGTGCCAGGCAAGTGCCCCCTCCCCGCTGTCCTGTGGCTCTGGCCCTACCCTGAAGTGATTCTGTGTCTAGTAACGGACTAGGAGAGTGAGGCCACCAGTGTAGGCCGCTGGGGGCAGGAGGACGCACCCAAGGGGACTATCCATCCCTGGGGGCCCCCCACCTGACTGCACATGTGCTTCTGGACCCCACCTCCGTCCCTGTACTTGGGCCTGCAGGGGGCCTGGACGATGCTTTCCCTAAAGGCAGGAAGCCCCCCTGCCTTGGCTCCCAGGGGTGCCCCCCCGAGAAAGGCAGGTATCAGGGGGCCCCGCCTCATCCCCTCACCTCCCTCCTACGTGCCCTGGTCACTTGGGCATCTTCCTGGGCACATGTCCCTCTCTGAGTCCCCTTCCCCGCACAGGACGTGTGTGATGAGGTACAGGGGTGTTCGGAGCACAGCAGAGCTTCCTGGAGGCAGCACCCCTCAAACGCGCTGCCCTTGTCCTCGGGCCTGTGGCGGAGCTGGAAGGGGTGGGCAGCTGAGCTGCTTTAATGAACCAATCCTACAACTAGATTCACTGGACAAAGCTCTCCCCCCACACCCACACACACTCTATACCTCCGCTGCAGTTTCTGCTGAGAGCGAGGGGTTGGGTATCATCTTTATCAGGTGGGAGGCAGATGTGTTTCACACGGGGTGTGCGGGCAATCTCCGTCCCGAGAGCTGGTTCCCCCCTGCCCCGTCCCCCACTCCTGGCGCCCGAGGAAGCTGTGTCCGCCTTCGCTTCCTGTTCCATCCCGGCACTGTGCCAATGACTCTGTCCGATGCTCGTCACGGCCCCCAAGTCTTTTTTTTTTTTTTTTTCTTAACGTTCCCAGAGCTTTAAAAGTCAATTTCCATCTCCAGGCCTATCCGTCACTGCCAGAAATGCTTAGCCGGAGATGAGGAAGGATAGTGGGATCACGTTGGCTCCTTCTCTTTGGGGCCTGCTGGGAGGGACCAGCAAAGGTCATGGGCACCCCCGAGACCCTTGCTTCTGGCTCTGGGGAGCACTGATGTCCTGGGGGGTGTCACTCTCTCGCCCCTCTCCCCAGCCTTCGTGGGCAGCTCGGAGCCACGGGACAGTGGATGACAGAGGACACTCAGCACAGGATGGCGGAGGAGTTTAATAGACAGAGCCGGAGAAGACCCACATCCCCCCTGCCTTGTGTCCATCTTAGGGGTCGCTGAGGGGACGGAAGCAGGAGGTTCAGAGGGGTTTGGTGGGTCCGGGGCAGAGGGGCGGGGGTGGGCAGGCGGGGAGGTGTGCCCAGAGCTTTCCTCCTCTCATCCTTTGGTCACCAGCATGTGGAGCCGAAGTCAGAGACTGTTCACGTGTGCTGCCCGCCATGGTGCTGCTACTCTGTGTGTGTGTGTGTGTGTGTGTGTGTGTGTGTGTGCGCGCGCGCGCGCGCGCGCGCATGCCCTGGCCCCCAACCCCTGGCCTAAGGTGAGCAGGGGTGAGAGGAGTCAGGGGGGGGGAATAACAGAAAGAGGAATTAGGGCAGGCGGGGAGGGGGCGCCTTGCAGGGGGTTCATCAGCTTGCAAGGAAAGTTACGTGGGTGAGAAGAGGCCGTCAGAGTGTGCTGAGTAGAACCGCGACAGAGAGAGAGAGAGACGGAGAGAGAGAGACATCGAGCGAGCGAGGCTGGCCAGAGTTCTCTATCCATGGGCAGAATTTCTGCTGAGAGCAGCCCCCCAAGGGGGCGCAAGTTTCAGAGGGGCCTGGACACTGCCCAGTCCTACGAGGCCGTTGCTGCCCGCCCCCCCCCTCACCCCCCACACCCGGGGAACACCAAACGGGCTAAGAATGTTTCCTGGCAGAGGCTCCCGGTACCCACAGTCCTCGTTCTCTCAGAACGGAAGGGGACACCCCTCTGGAACAGGCATTCCCTTTTCTTTCTACTGATTCCAGTCTGGAGCCTGTTTGGTTTTACGACCCCCGGCCGAGAATTCTGGCTGTCGATTGCTCTTTCTACGGAAAAGACTCATCCCGCGAACCCCAGCAGTTGCTGGGGATGGCGCTTAGGGGTCGTCAGCCCTCTGGGTCACATCCCAGCCTACAGCGTTCTGGGCTGGGGGCTGAGTC